TTTTGGTGCAGCCCCATGACTCCTCTCTTTTCCCTTTTTTTTTTTTCCTGCCATCAGTCTGGCCAACCATAAAGAAGGGTTTGTGTATCAGTGAGGCGGCCCACAAAGAAGTGCTTGCTGGGTTGTGGGGGGCGGCCCACAAAGAAGTGCGTTGATGGGATAACCTCGGTGTCTTTTGTGGATAATTTCTTTTTTTTTTCTTTGTTCGTGACCGCAGTCGATGAGACCAGTTCACGGTTGTGGTGTCAGCCTGCATGGACATTAGACACCGTTATGAGCTAGAAAATGCCAACAATGATTGCGAACTTCCCGGTACGGTTTGAGGCTTTTAGCAAGTGGTGCCTGAAAACCGTCACTCTGCATGCAACCACCACTGTTTACACACACTTGGAAAACTGATACTTATGAGTCAAGTTTGAACATTCTGTTTCTTATACCAAAACCAGCACACAACCACCTGCACGCAACCACCAAGTTTGGACATCCAGTTTTCGAAACCAAAACCTTCGATTTGTGCGCCAAGTTGTCACTACAATCAATCGTAACGAAGATTCAAGGAGAACAAAAGCTAACTCAAATGTTAATCAGGCCCCGGTCCTGACTTCCATGACATACATCTGACAATGTCAAGTACAGTACTTTAACTGCTGAAATTGAGCGACACAAAGGGGCAGAAATCAAGGTACGAGAGCTTGGCATCCACAAGTGTGCAAGTCATTTGCATAAGTTCTCAAGGAATGGAAGAAGACTAAGATCATACAACAAAATGAAGGGGGAGGAGAACAAGTAGACGATGAAGAACAAGAAAAAAAAAGGAGAGGAAAGACGGACAGGACGAAACACAACAGCTAGAGGCGCTGGTCGTCTAGACTTCCGTCTAGCTCCAGTCTGGGTCCGACTCGTCGTCCCCCTCCCTGTCGCTGCTGTCCTCTACCACAGCCGGATCGTCCTCGAGGACCCGACTGTGCCGCTTCTTTGTCACTCGGGCTGTGCGCCTTGGACGTGTTGATGGTGGAGGTGGTGCGGCGAGGACAGATTTTGCAGTATTCACAACAGTTTTCCTTGGTCGTCCCCTCCTACGCTTCACTGTTGGATCAACAGCAGGTTCAATGTCATTCTTCCGATTCCTCCCGGCCCTGCTGATCTCCAGGTTGTCATGGATGAGACTTTCATCCAAGTGGGGCAACGGAGGGGGACAACTCGCGGCGTGGAGGATGAGCGGTTGCTGCAGGATGTCTTCCGGCTCCTGTTGTGGGGGTTGTTGTTGCTGGTTCTGCTGCTTCTACTGGCCCTTGTCTTCTAGTTGCTGCTTCTGCTGATCCTCTTCGTTGTGCTCCTGCTGCTGCATGTCATGCTGTTGCTGGCCCCGACCGTCTTCCTGCTGCTGCTGCTCCCGTACGCCTTCCCCCTGCTGCTGCTGGTCCCCGTCGTCCTCCTGCTGTGGTTCCAAGCGATGCTACTCCGCTTGGTACTGATTGTCCTCTTGGTGCTGTTGTCGCTGCTGCTCTTCAAGTTGCTGCTTCTCGTGCGGCTGCTGCTTTTCTTGTTGTTGCTGCTTCTCCTGCTGGTGTTGCTCCTCCTCTTGCTGTTTTTGCTCCTGTTGCTGGCTCTCTTCCTGCTGCTCCTTGTGCCGCTACTGGTCTTCATGTTCCTCTTGCTCCTGCCGCCCTTGTTGTGACTGTTCCTTCTGTTGCCGCATGTCCTTTGGGCCCACGACCCGATCTACTGGTGGAGGCATGCTAAGCTCCGAAAGCGACCCCGGACGTGGCACTGCCAAGCGCTTTGCATTGTCCTCCTCGATGCGCTTCTGCACTTCTGCCCAGTCTCTTTGCGCAAGGGCCTTTGCCGCAGCCCTTTCTCGGTCATCATGTGAGGCTCCCTCGGCCTCCAAGTCCACGATGCCAGTGGTTGGAGGAGGGGGAGGACAGTTATGAACACCGCATACCCTGTCTTGCTCGTCCTCCTCACTGAGCCCGCGGCTTTAGAACGCATAGTCTGGGTCATCATCATCATCATCATCAACATCCGCATACGCCTCCTCGTCCACCTCATCCACCTCATCCACCTCATCCACCTCATCGTCTTCTCCCTCCATTGTCATCTTCTCCTTGCCCTTCACACTTCGTGGCGGCTGTTCCTTCCTCTTCCCACTCCAAATGATCTCCTCTTCGCTCGAGGAGTAGTCCGATACGTCCGAAGACGTACCGATGGGAACCCTTCCCTTGGGGGTCTTCCTCAATCTTGCCTGTCGCAACACCTCCTCCTCATTCATCTACAAGGGTCGTGGAAGAACAGCAGGATTGTTGACGGGCGAAGCCTCCTGGTCATCAAAGAAACATGCCCAGACATCAACGAAGTTGTCCTTCATGCTCTTCGGGATAGTCCGGAGCTGCATGTTCTAGTGTATGTACACAAGCTTTGCGAGGCTCTCAGATGAGAGATTGTTCCTCCTCTTCGTATGGATGAGGTCGAGGGAGGACCAATTTCGCTCGGATGGTGTTGTCGTGCTCCACATCGCAGTGAGACGAGTAGCAATCTTCTACAGATCCTTGTGGTTCCCACCATATGAAGCCCACCATTGAGATGCTATCTTACGATCAAGACAGCTGTCTGCAACGCCAAAGCCATCCCACATGGGCTCCTTTGCACGCTCCTCCTTCGTCGGAGACTCGTAATGAAACGCCCACAAGCTTTGCCACACGTTAACGTGGGACTGCTCCGAACCCCACGTCTCCCCTCCGAGCTGCGTCACGAAGTACTTGATGGCATTTTGCACCAAAAGACTGTCCTTGTCCAACACCCAGCGAGGGTCCCTCCTGTTCGGCGCCAGCAAGAAGTTAGCAGCATGCGCAGGCTGCCTCATCATCTTGCATCGATCATGAAYAATCGCCATGACGTCCTGCCGCTGCTCCTCCGTGAGGCCGAAGATCGTGCGCAACCGCTTCTCCAAAAGCTCCCCAAACCCCCACAATTGTGAGGGTGCAACGCCGTCGCGGTCCATCCTACGCAGCAACTCGTTCACARGCCGCATGACACTKACTATTCGCTGCACCTCGATCCACCATTCGTCGGAACGGACCGTGAGGAATATYCGTTCCGCCTTTCGACGGAGCTTCCTTGTGCTCCAATGGATGTTGTTCCAACCCCTCTCCATCATCTCCTTCAACACCCAATCCCTGTCACACAGCCTCTCAAGCATTTGATACGTTGAGGCGAACCTAACTTCTGTGGGCATGATGAGGGTCTTCATTTCCTCCAATGAACATGCTGAGAACAAAGCCACTGTGCGATGGTGGTTCCTGATGAACTTCACTATCATCTTCGCCCTCTTCACAATCTTAGCAACCCACGGGAGTTTCGCGATACCCTTCAGCAGCAAACTCAAGGTGTGTGCAGCACAGGGGACCCAGGGGATCCTTGCAATGTACGGATCCTTGCGAAGAGATAGGATCCTCGCTGCCCGTTTGTTCACTTGTGCGTTGTCCGTGCAGATGGCATTCACCCTATGGACCCCGATCTCTCGGATTACCTCCTCCTATAACTTTGGCAATGGCAGCCGCATTCGTCTTCCTATGGCTCATGTCAACCACCTTGATCAGCACTGCTCCTCCTTCCCCGGCGCCTATGAAATTGCTGACGGGTCTCCACCTTCGATTAGTAGTGCCGTCCGTGATGAGTGTGCAGCCTGAAATGTCCCACTTGTCCATCACGGGTCGCACTTCCTGCTTCACCTGATCATACACAAGATCCAATATGGCGGTGCGGACTGTCTCGAACATCGCCATGTCCACCTTCGCCTTGGTGGCCCCCAATTCCATGTACAGGTTATGGAGGGCGCGCGTCTCATCTTGTCTGACGAAATTGAAAGGGACCCCGGACTTGAACAACGCCCTCCCCCATTGGGTGTCCAACCTCTTCTAGGCGGCGTTCTCGGCCCACTTCCGGATCGAGGTCTATGTGGTTCTCGTGGACTTTGACCCAGATGTGGAGGCTTGGAAGGAGGGCCCCGCTGTTGGAGGGACTATTTTGTCTTGTGTGTCCTCCACAGGGGCTCCTACCGCTGCTTGCCCTTCAACCTGCACTTCTCTCCCAGGCGCAGGCGGCGGCCTTAGAAGCTCTTCCATCTCATCTGATTTGCCTGTCGCCAATGCACCAGTCGGCTCCATCCCTGTATCCTCTGCAATCCCTTTCTGTACACGATACTGATGGACCATCTTCTTTGCAGCCTCCCCCTCAATCTTCCCTCCCCTCAGTGCTAGGAGATGCAGGATCTCCCCGTTCTTGTATGGACAAGGCTTCCCCTTCCGCAGGAAGTGTTCCATCGCTCGGGTGGAGGACGCAGTGAACTGCTGGTGGCAGAGCTTGCAGCGGACCCAATACTGGCGGTACCATTTTGGCTCTGCTGCCTGCCCCCACACTATCCACTTGTACACGATGTTCTCCTTCTGCAACGCCTCCTGCTTTTCGTCTGGTTGGGCCTCGAACGGTGGCTGATTTTTGGGTGCACCTGCCTTCACTTTGTCCTTGCCTGCACTACTGCTGCTCTCGCCTGGTGCCACCATCATGAACTGAGAAGATAGACGAAGAAGAAGAAGAACGAGGAAGAAGAAAGAAGATAGAGAAAGAAGAAGGAGAGAGAAAAAGGAAGGAGTGCAATATTAAGAAACGGTACGACCGTTGGGGGCACAACAGACCATATGCCTCCAGCTGGAAGATGGTGCTGCAAGTGCGGATCACAAAACGGAAAGCACACCGTATTAAAACAGATGTCACCGGTCCATTGCCACAACGTGAAGGAAAAAAGGGCACGACGATGTTAAGGAGGAGGTGGACTGATCTGATCTGATCTTAATCAAACAGATCAGATATGATCTCATCTCGGGTGACACGATCAGATCTGATCTGATCACGTCAGATCAGATCAGATCAGAACAGATTTGAGCAGCGAAGTTGCGGACTTAAAAAAAAAAAAAAAAAAAAAAAAAAAAAAAAAAAAGGTCTACTTCCCCTCACCTCCTCCTCCTCCTTTGCTGATCAGAACAGATCAGATCTGGTCTGATCACAACAGATCAGATCTGGTCTGATCAGATCAGATCTGGTCTGATCAGAACAGATCAGATCTGATCTGGGATGACATGATCAGATCTGATCTGCTCACATCAGATCAGATCAGATCAGATCGGATATGACCTGATTAGATCAGATCGGATCTGATCTGATCAGATCAGATTGGATATGACCTGATTAGATCAGATCGGATCTGGTCTTATCAGAACAGATCTGATCAGGTCCGATGTAATCTGATTTAATCTGATCAAGTCAGATCAGATCAGATCTGATCAGATCCGATCTCATCCGATCCGATCTGATCGGATCTGATCTGACGTGATCAGATCAGATCTGATCTCCCCCTCCTCCACCACCTACCATCAAGATCCCGTCCTCGTCCTCGTCGTCCTCCTCCTCCTCCTCTTCTTTGCTCCTCCTCCTGCTCCTTCTCCTCTTCCCTTCTCCCTTTCTCGCCACGTGGTGCCCCAGCACAGTCCCCCCAATCAAGACGCTGTCATCCCTCTCCCCCTCCTCCAATACCCACGTGGCGCCCCAGCCCCAATTCCCCCTTTCTCGCCACGTGCCGTCAAAGTGACGCAACGAATCAGCGAAAAAAAAAAAAAAAAAAAAAAAAAAAAAAAAAAAAAAAAAACCTTCTCCTCTCCTCCTCATCCTACTGAGCTCCTCCTCCTCCTCCCCATCCTGGACCACCTTCCGTTTCGAACTCTCCTCCTCCTCCTCCTTCTTTGGTCCTCCCCCTCCTCTTCTCGTTGAACATCTCCCTCTGTAGCCACGTGTCCAACCCTTCTCCTCCTCCTCCACCTACCATCAACATTCCCTCCTCCTCCTCCTCCTCCTCCTCCTCCTCCTCTTCGATTCTCGGTTTCTCGCTACATGGCGCCCCAGCACCGCCCCCCCAATCAAGACGCTGTCCTGCCTCTCCTCATCCTCATCCTCCTCCCTCTCCTCGACGTGGCGTCAAAGTGAGGCAGCGAATCAGCGAAGGGAAAAAAAAAAAAAAAAAACCCACAGAAATCTCGTTCTTGCTCCTCCTCCTCCTCCTCATCCTCGACCACCTTCCGGTTC